GATATGGCACAACGGGAGCGTTGTCAACAAGGATAAATATATTTATTTCCCAACAGTTTCGGGAGGGGACCTCCCTTCATCAGGGGATGAGTTATACTCTTATACTCATCCCCTGATGAGTATATATATATATATATATATATATATATATATATATATATATATATATATATATATATATATATATATATATATATATATATATATATATATATAGGTGATCACTTAGGTCTGAGCACGTTGTGCCTGCAGTGTAATCGCTGCTATTTAGGCTTGTTATACATACGTCCAGTGACGTGTAGCTAGTGGTAGTAATACGGGTAGAATCTAAAATGGAATTTCGAGCTCCATATGATATTACAAGGTTTCATGAATCAAGTGCATACACGTCTTCACTTCTCATATTTATATCGACGTCACCCATAATAAAAAAATGTTTTTTGCAACTTCATTAAAACAATGCGAAACGTGTTCCAAATGACTGCGAAAATGTCGCTTATATCCAGTTGGGGGTCTGTATGCCACAGCAATTATAAAATAATTTGTTTTTATTGCTAGGCATGTCACCGCTACTAACAGACAGATCATTAAGCCTTTGAAAAGAATAGCGCTGCTGGAAGTGTATCGCCAACCCTCCACCGTTTTTGAGCGATCCGGGTGCGCTAGATTATAATTTGTAAACACGGGAGATATCCCTATTACACAGCCATGTCTCTGTAAACAATATTGCATCGATGTTCGCGTGAAGAGTACTCATAAATACACCAAACGCTTCGTGTTTGTTCCTAATACACCTTATATTTTTATGCAGTATGGTAAAAGAGCCTTTATTCAAAATTAATGTATAATTAAGTTATACAACACACGGTAATAAATTGGGGAATCCTTAGTGCGTAAAATTAACTGTTTTCTTAACAGCACCGTCAGAGGCGAAATAGCATAGTATATTCTTTCGATTTTACTCGACAGATAATTCCGACTTCAGGTGTTGCGGGCGAGAGAATCAAGAATAAAAAGATGCAAAAAGAAAAAAAAGGATAGGCAGTGATCAACCAGACATTGCGTATATGGTGTTTTCTGATCCACACAAGAACAAGTGCTCCGTAAATTCACGCGTCAGCTGGTAAACGTACTGAACACTCGAGAGAAAGCACCCAAAAAAATGACCTTTTCGCCAGAAAAAAAAAAAACTAAATTGGCAGTTCGTAAAAGTATTGTATAACAAAGTACGAGACCGAACTGACGTGTTCTCGTGAGCGGGGAAAAAAAACACGCGAGTATTGGTGCTATAAAATCAGATACGACACAGGAAACACAACCGCTGTTTGTCGCCCTCACATATAACACGATCAATTACACGGCAGTTTGGAGGCGATGAGCGAGTCCGCACGGAAACGGATGAAAAGTCGACGTCGGCAGAGCAGCGTGAAACGGAGATCGCTTCATCGATTCTGACGAGTTGGCCGACTCCTATAGGCGCACTTCTTCTTCCTCATCCTTAATATCATCGTTATAATTTTTTTCTCTCTCAAAAAAAAATGGACTCGTAGGATTCTCTGGGTACTGTCTTATACTGTATATAAGCTCTCGATCATTTCCGCGCAAGCGCCAAGAGAACAAAGAAGCGCCGAAAACAGCCAAGAGGCCAAAAAAAAAAACGAAAAATGTGAAAGAACGCGAGACAGCATTTGGCCGCCCCGCAACTTCGGCCCACCAGCTGCGTGCTTCGAGAGTTTGAAAATCGTATTTAGACTAATCGATGCACTCTCCTCAAGAACTCGCCGCGCGCAGCTAAGCTCAGTCCTCTTTGTTTTTCAATTACTTTATCCTCTCCGCTCATGTAGTAGGCCTGCACCGTTTTTTCAAAATGCTGATGAAAAACGGATTTATGATTTTCCTTCTCTCGTGTCTTTTTTATTATCATTATTATTTTAGAGACACCGAAAACGCGCTCCGTTCTCCCTGCTTCGGCAATGCACTCCACCGGATAGCGAGTCCACTTTTCCGCCGTTTTTTTAGGTGGGACCGGGGGCTGGGGGAGCGGTACAAGCCTCCTTATCCTCATTAATAATGTCGGATTAGGTTTCCGCTCGGCTTTTCGCTACACGCTGCGGAAAGAAGAGAGGATTCGATGAATTATGGTCCGCACGGGGCGAGAGAAGGCAGGGATGTCGGGCCGAAACTCTGGGAGAAAATGCTTTCAAATGGCTCCGTCCGTCAGTCGGTGAAAGGGAAGAAAGAGGAACCGCTACTTTAATAATGAAAGGGGATGCGCGGTGAAGAAGAAAGAAAGGAGAAGTAGAAGCAGGTTAAGGAACTGCACTGAAAACAGTGGTGAGTGGAAGAAATGAAATGACTGCCATTAAAAGTTTTGTTGGAGGCTCGGAGTATCCAGTGTAGTGGTTCATCCTTTAGAAAGTCAGTATCGTCTATTTTTTTCATGAGCAAGGGGTCAGTATTCACTTAAACGTCATTAAAGTGGCATCCTGGGCGCCGCCACACTGGGGTCATTTTCTTTTCTTTTTTTTTAATGTGTGACGAAAAAGGTTGCCAGTGGCATGCCCATCATCCATGCCTAGCATGCCTTTGTAAAAACGGGGATTATGAAGAATGAAGTCACAGATATACAGGTAAAAAAATAAAAAGAAAGGACGCGTCAAGGCGCTGACCTAACAAAAGTACTTCAACGTATATGAAAAAAAGCTCAAAATTGACATGACGATAGTTATAGTGCGAGAACAGAACGACGACAAAGAGACAAGAAGTACACGAGCACTCGTGTCCTTCTTGTCTCTTTGTCGTCGTTCTGTTCTCGCGCTATAACTATCGTCATGCCATACCAACTAGCCCAAGCTGCCACACTCAAAATCAATTTTTCGCGTGAAACGCAGACACAATATGTCTTTACAGCATTCGAGACTTTTACTTCACTCAACAGATGAGCCGCTTTGATGAATGGTGAGTCCAAGGAATAACAATTGCTTCCTCATATCTCGAGGGGGTGCTATTACATCGAGGAAGTGCACGGGAGAGAACTAAAATGCAAGGAGGCTAACTAGCGCGGCTAACTAACCATCGATGTCCAAGGATTCAAGCCAAGGTTTATACACATTAGGGACGAAGCTTCTGAATGTACTATGCGCTCCACGATGGCGGCTTTGATGACAAATAGGTTTCGGATAACCTGCTTCCTTGTGATAACTACGACGTCGGAAAGCCTTTGTACGCGATTGAGGAACGGACCTGCATGTAATGCTTCGATAACATTATTGCGACATCGCAAACATTGCATCCCACCGTGCTGGTGCTCCAACGCGTTGGTTTCATTGACATCAATGCAAGCCATCTAGAGCCCGTAAGCTCAGCCAAAACGGCGGATCAGATTGGCCTTTCGTCTGCTAATGAGGACTCGTATAACTGTCACAAACACCAAGCGATAGTGGTGTTTCACTTGAAAGCACTTTCGATCGAGCCCCTACGTCCGGTTTTCATGATTCAGAAAAAGTTTTGTAAAAGAAAAAAGGGAGAGAGACTGGTACGATATTCATGGGTCTGGTTCGAGTTACATTTGAGAAAGATATATTGAGGGCGATAACTTGTGGTAAAAGCTGGTTAACCATGAGAAGAACTTGAAAAGAAAAGATTATTGAATAAGTTCCCCGAAAAAAGATACTGTTTCCTGTATCAAAGCTGCTGGAATCGTGGCGACACCTGGCGGAGCTGACCTCAGCCACTCGCTTCTCTCTATGTAGCCACTGATGTTCGCTTCGGCAGCGCTTCTAAATACAATGTTGAAGAATACTTCCTGCCACACGAACGGCAATGCGCGAGTGTCACTGGCAGATACCTAAACGAAGATCACCTCCAGTTTTTTTTTTTTTTTTACTTTAAGAACGTGCCTCAATCATGAAGCGATGCTGAAAGAAAGGAAGGAGCAGACGTGACGGCAAAAACTCGCCGAGCGACTTGACGCTCATCCCGCGAGTGACGTGAGCGACGTCCGGCCGCTCGTACCGACGCATGTACACGGGCCTTCCATTAAGGAATGAGGGAAACACTGCGGTAGAATTCCCGCCGGACCCTCGAAGTCCCCGGATTCACGACCGTGCCATGAAAAGGGACGGCGAATAATGCACCAGACACGCACACAGCCGGGCCAAGGCGAGTTAAGAGGGACGCGCGGCAGCGTCTAAGTGCACGGAAAGACATTGCGCGCATGACTCTGGCATCCGAAGAAAGTGCGCGCGCAGCGTTCTCAGACGTCGCTACGACTGCTGCTCTTTTTCCCGAATGTCGGTTCCGAAGTCCCTCCTCGCGCAGCCGGCGCGTCCGATCGCCTAAAACGCGGAACCGGAACTAATGCACTCCCGGGAGAGAGCAGCAATTGCTTCGACAGGGGCACATCGGCCTGCGTTGCGTCTTCCGCTTCGCACGAAACGAGGGTGGACAAAAAAAAAAGAAGAAAAGAAACGAAACGAGAGATACGAGGAACTGCCGTGACAAGAGAAACGTTGGAAAGAAGAGGGGCCGGCATAAAAAAGGGGTAGGCTGGTAGTGTTGGCGAAACAAAGCCGGGAAATACGAGAGTCAACATTAGCATTACTGAGGCTGGCGGCATTCAGAGAAGAAGCCGAAATGTCGACTGGCAAAAAGCGGCGATAGTAAAACAGGACAGCCCCGGCAGGAGCGGCAGGGTCCCAGAGCGAGCGACCAGCCCCGCGCACGCGAAGAAAGTGGATGAGATGGAGAGAGCGAGTTGCGCGGTAGAATGGGACTGCCTGAGAAAGGAAGGAGTGGGTAGAGAAGAGCGCGGGGTGTGCAGGGAAGAGGATGGAGAAGGGGGACGAAGCTGCCGGAAAAGGAAGAGAGAGGTGATATTGGAGGCGGGAGAGAATGTAGCGGAGCGCTCCCTTTCCAGGCGTTCTCTTTCCAACTGGATGAAAACAAGTCGTCGCCCTCTCGCTCCCCGGTGCCGGCCCCTCCAGAGGAGCGGGAAAAAACGAAGCGGACCTCAGTCGGTAGCGAAAGATCGAGCGGACCGCGTGGAGACCTGCCGGCTTTTCTCTCGAGAGCGCGCGGCTCGCTTGCTGGCTTCACCGAGGGCCAGGCCAGGACCGACATGCAGCTGCTTGTACCGCCGGTATGAGTGCCTGTCAGGCCGCTTTCTCGGTCCTGTTGCTGCTCGTCGCCTGTGGCCGGTCGTCGTCCTCGGCCACGCCGCCGGGCAACAACGAGGACGCGCCCCTGGTGCGCACCTGCGAGGAAGTGCAGATGCGGTGCGCGCAGCGCAAGGGCTGCGGCTCGGCGCTGCACGCCTACCTGTACCAGTGCAACGAGGTGATCCAGGCGGGCGCCTCGCAGTGTCCCGTGCCGTGTCAGCGCGCGCTGGCCGCCCTCACGTCGACGGACGAAGGTCGCGGCTTGTCGGACTGCGAGTGCGGCGAGAACGACGTGTGCCGCAAGAGCAAGCTGCGCGTCGAGGTGTGTCGCGAGGCCGTGGAGAAGCTGACCGCTCCCGGTGCGCGAATCCCGTGCAGCGTGGCCTTCTGGATGTGCGAGGCCGAGCCCCAGTGCGGCACGGCGCTCGCCTACTACTACCGCTACTGCCGCGGCGCGTTCCACGGCAAGCGGTGCACGCCCCGCTGCAACAACAGCCTGGCCATCCTCAACAGGCAGCCGCGATCGGACACGCTACGCTCGTGCTACTGCGACGGCTCCGAGGAGTTTCCCTGCCAGAAGATTCGCGACAGGACGGACCAGTTGTGTTACGGCAGGCAGGAGCCGTCCACGACGCCGAAGCCCGGTTCCGCGGGAACAGCTGTGCGTCCCGCCGGGTGGCCCCAGCTGACAGTCGCGCTGCTGCTTCTCGTATCTCTTGCTACGCGGTAAGTACCTGTTCTGTTCTGTTTTAACTGTTTTGCTGTGGAGAGGTTGAGGTGCCTATTGCCTCGGCTACTCAATATCACAAAGTTCTGCAGCGAAAAATAAAATAATAATACAGAACGGTACCCAAAAATTAACAATACGAAAAAAAAACATAATAGGACACTGAAACCAGTTCAAATAACATGCCAATACACAGTTTTCTTCACGCAGTTCACACAGCCATAAACTACTTACACGCACACCTTACTAATCTAATGTCAGTATATACATGACCGGTAAGTACCGATTATTTAATATACGGTGTCTCTCTGACCTGTACGAGCGCAGGAATTCATAGAGCGATAATCTGAACGGTCTTATCAAGTCGAGTGTGCCTGTGTCGATTCAGTGCTGCTTCACTAACATACAAGCTCGAGAATTCGCGCAAATTACTTGAAAATGCGTGAGGGTTGGCGGATTTCGTTTCCCGAAATCAGCAAAACGCGATATGACTGTCGGCTTCGATCGCCCGAGATTGCGCTTTACCACTGATTTGTAGGTTATGATTGGAAATCAGATTACGAGACAAAAATACAAACGACCGTTTCCCACTCTCCGACATTCGCATCCTGTGAACTAGCACTACCAAGCTGTCCTTGCAGTTAGTGGACGCAGGCTTGAATATGGACCAGGCAACAACAACAAAAAAAAAGCACATCGAAACTTTTCGCTTAGCGTGTTTACCGAACCTGTGTGTTGGTTGCTGGTGTGTGGTCAGTGCGAAACTTCCTGACAGGTTTACTACGCCACGTGTCACCGAAGTTTTTCGCGTTCAGTGGCGTTTTTATGTCCCGCGCGCCGCTTATGGCCTCGGCGGTACACGTGTGCACGAGACGATAAACGTATCGAGCCTGCGAAAGAATGTTGCCAGTTTTACTGCTCTGCCCCGCGTGGCCAGTCCTGTGCCGTATCTTCCAAGCCAACTCTGCTCGGGTCTTCGCGCAGCTTTTTGCTAGGAACATTTTATACCTATGCGTGTGAACCTTCCATGACCCCCCCCCCCCCTCCTCCTTTCCTCATCTTCACAATTTCAGATCAGTGCTCGTTGCTGGTATGTGTACCTTATATAGGACTGCACACGCTGAAATCCGCGCCAAGGGTACGATCGCAGCTTTAACGGGACGCTTGTTTGATGTCATGCGCGTTCAGGCGTGTCTGACATGATACGTGAATACGTGTGGCAGCTTGGGCTAGTTGGTATGGCACGACGATAGTTATAGCGCGAGAACAAAACGACGACACAGAGACAAGTGTCTTTCATGTCCTCCTTGTCTCTGTGTCGTCGTTTTGTTCTCGCGCTATAACTATCGACGTGAATACGCCTGTGTTGTGCACTATGGCTACATGAAACAGAGAAGCGTAGTACTTTTCGTTATCTTGTACATATACTTCCACACAAAGCACATAGACACCGGCTGGATAGATATCCGGCACACCAGGCGCTGTCGTATTGGCTTGAACATATAATCGGCGCTCAATCGCATTCGTTATCTGAACAGCCGATCTGGCGATTCCCGCAACCACCTGTGTTATTGTTTTCGGTAGTATAAAAGATGACTTTAGCATCGGGGATTCCGTTTCGCATAAGATAGCCGTTGTCACTCGTGATACAACGAGCAGAGGCGGGAACGCACAAGGTTCAGATGACAACTGAGCTTTCGTTGATCGTTACATGGATCTACATGTTGAAAAGCTACTCGACTGACCATTGTGTTGTTTCATTTATTATGTGCCCTCTGCGCCAGATGCATTGCTTCTGATACCAAAACTCGCAAGTCTAAGATGTATTCTACACTTAATGCGCGCAATATGCTTATCTTCGTAACAATTCCTTTCGGGTTTAAATAACTTGCAGTAGAGAAGATTTCAACACGGCGAACACCATTACTTATATTTACAGGTAGCGTAAGCCTTGCTGAGAGCACACCTGTTCGTAAGGCACAACATCAGCCCTGCAGCATAGAGATAGAGGCGTTACTTAAGCCCATTCGCATGCCTAATCATGCTAATCGATGGTAGCGCCGGCTAAGGACAGACAACAGAAAAGCAGAATCGACACAAAACAGTGTCGAACGTGCCTTCTTTGCTCTGCCTGCGTTTATCCTGTGCTATACACAAAGTAGAATGCAATACCAACAAGCCACAGTTACCACCTTCCGTGACTTCATTAATGATACTCCTTAAGGACACTGTGCACTCGATAATCGCTGGTTTGCGTCTCTGCTTCACGGCCTTGGATAAAGGTTTTACAAAAGCATTTACAGGTTGCGCAAATGCATATGGCAAATCGTCACTTCCTTCTGGTTGATGTACTTTAGCTGGAAGATAAAGTGTGCCGCTAATAAAATGCGCGAATTCTTTGGAATCATATTCGCATGTGTAAATACTCTGATACATTTTCAGGTTCGAGTCTTTATGTGTCTCAAATAGTGAGGCGGTGTATATTACGAATCGTCTCACAGTCCGCAATTGCACTGCCAACGTCACCATCGCTAAGCATTGACGAACTTGCCTTCTCGAAGCGTATACACAGTACAACATTCTTTTGTCTTTCTGTCGTCACGGACTCACAGTCCGATCACATCCTGCGACCACGTTCGGTGTCAGTAAGGTGTCGCTGTGAACCTGGTCACATAATGTAGCAGCGCTTACAAACAACGCGGACGCCCTTCCAAAAACACGTGTACTTGAAATACGTGCACGAAAACATTTATTATTTAGAGGAAGTCCTTCTGAAAGGCGCGCTAAATGAACTATAACGGCCATTTCATCCAGTTTTGTCGACACCTGTGTCTCTCTTGGGTGCTGCAAACATTAGAGCGGGACAAAATTTAAATCTTGGTGGTTGTCGCAGCCCATGATTACCTCAACTGTAATAGCCTCGCGTGATGTTTCGCACATGTAAAGTGACTCCGACAATGTCGTAAAGGGTCCACAAATACAAATCAAGTCAACGCCTACGCGATACAAAAGCGGGTTGCACAAATGCATGAACTCTCGCGCAGGAGATGCTCAAGCAACCTTAACGACGGCGCGTTCAATCACGCCTATCAAGACCATGCGCCTGGTTTGTTATTATAGACGGCAGTTTCAAACAACATGCGCGTTGGATATCCTAAAACCCCTCGCGTTTTCGTTGTCAGCTCTAACGGTAACCACTGCCTCGACATCCTCGCTCGTGGTCCGAACGACTCGCACGTGAGAACGAGTTGCCCACACTATACTTTTCCAGAAGCCTAACGTCCTTATCGCTGCATTAGCGAGTCTAGGGAAATCCTTTCGCCTTCTGGTGTTCGATGGCTGCGTCTTGACGACTTATCTTTCACTTCCCCTACACCGGCGGCGACCTTTTTCTCAGTCTCATCAAGGGTGTCTTCCTTAAGTAAACGCATTACCTTTGGCATTACGCAAGCCAAGTACTGCTGATCCTTCGAATAAATTGCGTCCGTAATAGCATCCCCATTACGGACGAGACTACTGGTATCCTTCCCCTATTTTCCTGCAGGAGATCTTCTCCGCTGAGCTGGGGGAAAAGTTTTTTTTCCGGGCTCTGGTCGTCTTCCCTTCTGGGGCGGAAACCATTTCGCGAACTTGGCGAGTTCTCGCAGTTTTTCGCCGATAATCGTTCCGCCTTTTCGCTTATGTTGTCCCATCGGTCCCGGAGGGGATGAAAAAAAAAAAGAGGTGGTACATGGGTGGTATTCCGGTGCCAGTGGAAGATTGCAATTTCATGGGATCGATCCAGGAAATGGGAGAACTCAAGTAAACGCGTCGGATTCTTTCGCATCGTCGCGCGGACACAAAGAAAGAACTCTGGTGAGGGAGTCATTTTTCCGCCGCAATTATCTCAGGAGAGAAACCGGATATCACTCCGGTGCTCCCTTTTTCCGTTGTCATTAAAGCTATTAAAATTTTGCCCAGACTCCACCGGAGAGCCTCCAGGAATTAAAAAAAAAAAAGTTACTTCCGCGCTGGAACATGTAGGAGGAGGTGGATGGGGTTGGCGCATTGGATTGCACGCAGAGCAAGCGGGCGACCTATTTGCTTCGCGTATTGGAATTCAGCTAAAACCATAAGGTATAGCTAGTATGCGGGATTTTTTTTTCTTCGTGCGATGCTTTCTTCATTCAATGCAAATGGATCCTCAGCAGGTGCGTTAGATATTTCTCGGGCCGCGGGCAAAGCGTACACTAAATATGGAATTGGATGAAAGGGAAAACATAACTGAGAATACTGAAGACATGCTGTACTTTCGACGTTCGCAAATTTTCTCGCGCTGCATCTCCGCCAATCCTGAAACTTTTTTTCATATTTTACAGCCCCCTATACAGCATTTAAACAAGGGGATGTGTGAATCACAGTACGCGTTCGAGTCACACGTCGCCTATTAAACCAGCGATTCTTCGTCGTGTTGACAGTGTAGTAGGAACGCGATCGCTTGGCCCGAGCTATCTTGTGGCCCTACTGTGCCAAAATTTACATTCTAGTTAGGTCTAGGAATAATAATAAAGTCTTCTATATCTCCGCAGAGCAGAGTAAGAAAATCTGACGCTATAACGGTCGCGTATGTACAAGTCAAACACGCGTCCTAACAACCTCCTCTTTCATTTCCGCTATCGTTCATAACTCATATCTTCAATCGCGGAACCCCTAAAGTCTTAACTACCGCTCGTTTCCTGGGATGTAAAGTACACCCGAGTCGCGTCCGTATAGAGTTGTATATGCGCGGGGTCGTGTCCCTGAAATACGGCCAAACTTAAACGTGAAATGTGGTTTCAAGGCGACGACGTTGTTTTACGGGAGTGCCGTCACACACGACTCCGTGTTGTGCCTGTGTGCACGGTATACATAAAATTTGCATCGAGGTGCCGGTATAGCAGTATGTCAAGAACTAAATGTTCTTGTTTCTGAACTCTGTGGACTCCATGCCTAACAACCATCGTTTTATGACACTGAGGCG